CCACCCATCTCACCAAAAGTGACTTTGGATGGCATACAACAATGAAAATAAAACAACACTGTAAAAACCTCAGATGTAAAATGTAAAAAAAACATATTAATAAACACCATAAAAATGAAAGATACAAACACTCTTCTTCTGAATGAAAAAGAAAGCAAAAAAGTATGAAATGGGAATTTGTTTCCACTTCTTGCAACACACGAACCAGAGTTATGCATCCTTTCAATTTTGATTCCAACTTTGGTACTGGATTCAACTTCTGTGGGCTAAGGAATTGTGAGAAAGTTGGTAAGCTGTAGAAAGGTGCATATAAACCAAGGGTACCTTAAAATATGTAAAGTGAGTACGTATCTACTGCAACTTAGAGGCATCTTGTCTGTTTTTTGAGATCACTAATGAACCAGTAAAATAACTAGTAAGCAAATATATTCCTGGACTTTGTGATCCAAGATAATTTGCTTTGTCAAGCAGCCCTTGATTTGAGTTTCCAGCACATGATAGAAAATGAAAATTACAGCTTCAGAAACAGGGTGGAGCTATGTCTTTGCTTGGTGGATTCAGAATGTTAGCATTCACCTCCCCTTCCATTTTCTCCCACTAAAAACCCAACCCCTCTCTCTTGTTGCAGGTGGGCTCAGCAGTTTTAAGCAGAACCATGAAAACCTCTGTGATAATTCCCTCCAACTTCAGGAGTGTCCTGAAAGCGGAGGTGGAGGTGCCGCAGTAACCTGTACACTACCTCAGTCCATTGCTACCACTCCAGACATTGAGAATGCCGAGCTCACCCCCATCTTGCCCTTCCTCTTTCTCGGCAATGAACATGATGCTCAGGACTTGGAGAAGATCCAGAGGTTGAACATCGGCTATGTAATCAACGTCACCACTCACCTCCCTCTCTACCATTATGAGAAAGGTTTGTTCAGCTACAAACGTCTCCCTGCCACGGATAGCAACAAGCAGAACCTCAGACAGTATTTCGAAGAGGCTTTTGAATTCATTGGTAACTATTCTTGTTTCCAGTTTGACTAGATTGCTCTAAATAAGTGCTGCTCTTGTGACTTTAGGTCTGGGTTGGAAAATATAAAGCAGATTATCTTGGCCCAGAGGATTGGTTGGATGACTGAAGCTGCTTTGGGTGGGCATTTTAACAACGGAAGCTCTTTATTTATCCCTGGCTCCATTTCTAAAATAATGGATCACTTGTTGTAGTATTCACCTTTTCCCTGCAGGTTTCTATTCATTAGGGTAGAGATACTTCTTTTTTGTAAAACAGAGGCTTGATAGGGAATTGTGGCCTATCTTTATTAATACCCTATTAACACCATCCTGCAGATGTTTGCTAATATCCCTTCTCTGTATTCTCACACTCTTAAGGGACAACATATCTGCCTATGAGAGACACATAGGGATGTTGGGGGACAGTCAATTGACAGGTTATCTCAGAAATAGCAACCCAGTGCAGGTGATTAGAGATCTGGGAAAAAGCACCTTAAATGACTCTGCCTTCATAAACTCAGTATTATAGAAGCTGGGAAATTGTAGCCACAATGTTAAAAGAGTAGTGCTTGGTTAAACTGTCGAATCTGGTTCACTGTTGTGCCACAGATTCCCAGAGATGTTGATACACATTCATGGAGAATAGGGGTCTCAGTGGCTAAATGCAATAGTGTTTTATTGCTTCCAGGATGAAAAGCAGCATGTCACAAGAATACCAGCTGCTAAAAAGCAACTGTGAACAAACACTTCCAGGCTACATGGGTGTTTCTTTGGTCTTCCTTTGATCCCACAGGACTGCTTTTTGAGGTTAGCCAGTTTACCCATGAACGCTATGAGAACTGCTTGTCCTTTATTACTTACTGGTGTCTTCTGGTGACATTCCCCCAGAGTACAGTTCAAGAAAGAAGGATAATTTTGCAGAACACAAAGCTTTATGCTATTTGATCTGCACAAAATATATGACCCTGCATAGTAGGCTTGTAGGAAGAAGCTGATGAAAAAGTGAATAAATAGGACAGAGTTAAACATGACTG